ATGAAGACAAAAGATAGGCATGGTCCCTGCCCTGGTGGCTCTGGATTTTAAGACACATTCCTCAGTACTAGGTTCAGTCTAGAATCTTTTAAACAACAACAACAAAAAATTATATGATAATTTCACAGAACATGTAAAGGAATTAAATGATATTTATGATTGCAAAAAATACTGAAAGCAGTTTAAAGCCTCAACAATAGAGGAACACAGTAAATCTTAAAAGAAAAAAATTGTTCAAAACTTGGAAACAGGGTAAAGAGCAAGGAGCACGTCTTTTCAATGTCATACTGGAGCACTGTTTAATAGGCCCCTAGGGGAATGTACCATTGTCTTTTTATTTACTATTGATTAAAGGCCTATGGTCTGTTAAGTTCTATGTGATCTAGAGATTTGTGTCTCACAGAGATGCAAATGATTACAGCATAGTAGCAAGATAACCAAGAATTACGGTTGTTTTGCTCTGTGGGGCATCCGCCACTTCTGCATCTATCCCAGCCACAGGATTTCAACATTCTTTCTCCAATGCCTTTATCACCCCTGTTCCTCCAACGCTCCTTTGAACCAGCTTTACCACCCTGTTCGCTGCCTCATTAATGAATTGAATAAATCTTTGCCACATTTGTATGAGAGTCATGTTTTAAACTTTCCGAAAATTATACTTGTGCGATCTCTTGATATAATTTATAGAGTCATTAAAATCATGTTTTTGGAGAATTTAATGATGTGGGAAATGTTCATAGTGTGAAGTGAAAAATGCAAGACACGGAACTGTACATATGGTATGGTTCCAATTTTATCAGTATAGATTCATGGGAACACACAAAGACGGGAGAGAAAAAAACCCAAAATATCAATAGCAACTGCGGGTTTGGAGGCTGTAGATCATTTTAGTTCTTTTACACTTGTCATTATTTCCAAGAGACCGTGCAGCGACTCTGCCTCCCTAAGTCGTCTCCCAGGACTCAGAACTCACAGAAGGCGCGTGTGTTTGGAGCAACAGCTTGCTTTCCTTGCCTTTCTTTGTGCTTTTCTCCTGCACTAAGCACTGACACAGGCCTCGTGCTGGGCTCAAACACCCTGTGCCTCAGTTTCCCTTTCGGTACAAAGAGCGGTTCTGTCTGCCCGCGGGCGTGCGGGAGTTCCGCCGCACCTAGCCCCTGGAGCTAGGCACTGTCCGGGGACAGCCTCCCGGCTCCAGGCGGCTGGAGGGTCCAGCCCTCCCAGCCCCCGCCCCTGCCTGCGCTTTATTTGAAAACGCTGACAGCTGATCCCTCAGGCAGCGGTCTGGAGTCTGCCCAGTCCGTCTGCAGCGTTGCAGCCAGGGCTAAGCTTTCTCGGGTCATAATGACAGAACCCGGGCACAGCCCCCCGGGACCATTCCTTCCGCGAAATCAGCCGAAAGCCCCCAAGGGATGGGGCCGGGTAGGGGGTGGTGTCTGGGAAACTAGTTGTGAGAAACAGACTTCACGCAGCACCCGAGCTTGAAGCATCGAGTCGAGTCCGACCCCTTCGCTTCACAGAAGGGGAAACTGAGGCCCAAAGAGGGAGGCCGCTGGGTGGGGGTGGAAAGAGAGCCCTGGTTTCCAGTGCCAGCGCAGTTCTCAATCCATGACGTGGCCATGGGCAAGTCCTTTCCCTTTTGTGGGCCTCGGTTTCCCGTCTGTAAAATGGGTGCGTCGGACTTGCTCTTCAATAGGACTGCCAGGTCAGGGTCCGAAGTGCACGGCTGGAGATACCCAGCGAGCTACCCCCACAAGGCTACACAGTCTCCCGGGGGCATTTATTCCCTACCCCACCGGCGTGCGGCTGGCACCCAGCATGGTCCCAGGGGGCTGCTCCCCAGGCCACAGGGCAGGACGCTCGGGATGCTCGGGGCTGGCGAGTGCAGCGGGCGGGAGAGACCGAGATGAGAGACAGGCGGGGCGGAGATGAGGGACCGTGAGAAAACCGGGGAAGAGAGGCTGGGAGAGCAGCGGAAAAGCAGAAAACAGAGGAAGGAGAAAGAGAGAGGGGAAGGACCGGCTATTTTCCGCCTGCGCTGGGTTTCCCCGACCTCCGCCACCTCCCGGGCGCACAACGTGGGAACAAAGCCTGGGCTCCCGGGCTGGGGGGCGGCGGGGGCGCAGGCCCGGTGGAGTTGCGCGAAGCACGGGGTCGCGGTCCTGGCGCTCCAGACCCACAGGGCGACTCCCAGGTCCCCGAGCCACTCAGCCCACTGTCCTCCATCCCCTCGGCGCCTGGCCACTTACTCGTCGTCCATCCCGGCTCCCGCGCCGCCCGCGGCCGGACCAGCTGCAGGGCGAGCGCCAGCAGGCAGAGCCGGGCGGCGCCTGCGCCCCCGGGCATGGTGGCGGCGGCCCCTCGCGCTGGCGCTCACACGCCTTCTGCCATGCCTGCCCCCCGGCCCGGCGGTGGCGGCGTCTGAACCCCCAGCTCGCCCAGCGCCTCCCCGCCCGGCTCCCGGCCCTGGGCCGAGACGCTCCGCCCCCAGCCCCGCGGGGCTCCGCCGGGCGTGGAGGAGGGGAGGCGCCCGCCGGGGGGCGGGGGGAGAGGGACCGGACAGGGGAGGAGCCGGCGGGACCCCTGGGGAGCCCGGTTGACCTAGGTGAGAGGGACGGCGGGGAAGGGAGAATCCGAGCCCGAGGAGAAGGGATTCACCTTGGACGCGGCCTGCGGAGGGTCGGGGGCTCAGACTCCTAGGAGTTAAACTGGACCCCTCTCTGCACAGCGGCCGGTTTACTCTGTCCCGCACTGTGCCACACGCCTTGGGTGACGCTCTGAGGCGACTCACTCAGCGCCGTCTCCCAGAGGCCGCCACTCTTGGAGGCAGGCTCTGAAAGAGTTAACCCAACCACCGGGCACAAAGAGCTAAGTGCTATATGGACTTGTTTTCCTAGCAGGACACAAATCAGGGAGCCATTCCTTCTGACTGGGAGGAGGGGGGTGGTGAAGACGAGGAATCCCAGAGGAGAAGACATCTGAGCTTGGGAGGAGGAGAAATGGAACACCAGGCAGAGGAAACGGCCCAGACAAGCTCACTGGGGCGTGAAAGCCCGTGGGCTGCATGGGGGAGAAAACCAGAATTGGGGATAGTTAGGGCTTAGGGTTTTGGAGGGAAATGGAGGGAGATGAGACCCAAAAATAATAATAACGACTGTCATTTATTGAGGACTTACTGTCTGCCTGAATAAGAAAATCACGACAGCAAAGACTGATATAGGGCTTAAGTGCCAGGCACTATCCTCAGCACTTTACATATATTAACTCACGTAATTAATCAAGAAAAAGAATTTCCTTTTATTGGCCTTTTATTTGTGCAAAGGACTCTGCATACATTATCTCTTAATTAGCCCAATAATCCTGTGGGGTAGCTACTAGTATTATCCCTGTTTTAGAGATGAGAAAATCAAACCTTGTCCAAGGTCACAAAGCTAATGTCAGAGCCTGGATTCAAACCCCAGAGCCTGACGCAGCACACTTTATTTTAGAGATGAATGAACTGATAATCAGAGAGAAGTGACTTGCCTAAGATCCCTCAGCATCTTCTGGCAAAGTCTCGTTCTAGAAATCCAGCCTCAGACCTCTCATCAGCTGTAGCTTTCACTGAGCCAAACCCAGGTTTGCACAGCTACACAAGATGCTGTGTGTCGGAGAGGGCAAGGCAGGCCTCAAGATGATGGGGAGGGAGATCTCTCAAAACCTACTCGTGGGCGCCCACAAGGGGAATAAAGGTGTGGTTCTTGTCATTGATGTGGTTAAGGACTCTGTTAGTCTTCTCCTGCTACCATAACAAAGTACCACAGACTGGGTGGCTTAAACAACAGAAATTTGTTTTCTCACAGTTCTGAAGGCTGGAAGTCCAAGATCCAGGTGCCAGCAGGGTTGGTTTCTGGTGCAGTCTCTCTTTCTGGCTGATAGACGGCCACCTTCTCACTGTGTCCTTACATGGCTTCTTTGTGTGTAAATAGAAAGAGAGAGCTTTGGTGTTTCTTCCTCTTCTTATAAAGATACAAGTCCTATAGGAGTAGGGCCCTATCCTTATGATCTCATTTAACCTTTATTACCTCCTTATAGGCTCTGCCTCCAAATGCAGTGACATTGGGGGTTAGGGTTCCAACATATGAATTGTAGAAGACACAATTCACTCCATGACATTCTCCCCTCTGGCCCCCAAAATTCATGTCCTTCTCACATGCAAGATACATCCATCCACCCTATCCCAATAGCCCCAAAAGTCTTAACTCACTCCAGCATCAATTCCAAGTCTGAAGTCTCATCTCAATATCGTCTAAATCAAGTATGGATGAGACTTGAATTATGATTCGTCCTGAGGCAAAATTCCTCTCCAGCTGTGTCCTGTGAAACCAGACAAAATACAGTGGTGGCACAGGCATAGGATAAACACTCCCATTCCAAAAGGGAGAAATGAAAAGAAAGCGGTGACAGGTCCCAAGAAGTTCAAAACCTAGCAAGACAAATTCTATCATACCTTAAAGCTCTAGAATGGTCCTCTTTGGCTGTACTGTTCTGCCCTTAGGCCCACTGGGGCAGCTGTGTCAACCCCACAGCCCTAGGCAGTGGCCCACAGCCACAGCTTTTTGCCACTGTCCCATCCCTGAGGCACTGAGCCTGGCCTGCTTAAAGAGGAGGGGACCCCACCCTTCGAAACAGCCTTTCCCCCTGGGCCTGTGGTGGGAGTGGCAGCCCCCCGATAATTTCTGAATTGCCTTGGGGTCATTCTTCCCTTTTCTTGAAGGACAGGAATGGCTCTATTGTCCTTGTCTATAGAATCCTAGAATTCTGAAAGCCTTCCTTTCATCCTGTGTCTAGTTCCCTTTGGTCCAAACTGGCAGTGTCTTTGCTGGTAAAATCCCACCTCTCTTTGGGGTTTCTGGGTTGCCTCATTAGAGAGTGCTTGTCTGGCCACACCCTTGGCGTCTTCTCCAGAAGATGCTTTCTCATTGTTTGCAATATGAATAGGCTGACAGTTTTTCAAATCTTCAAGTTCTGGTTCCTTTTTGCTTAAAAAATCCTTCAATTGATCTCCCCCCTCTCACATTTTATATAAGCAGCAAGGAGAAACCAGGCCACGCCTTCAACACTGGGCTTAGAAATCTCCACAGCTAAATATCCAAGTTCATCGCTTGGAATTTCTACTCTTCATGAAACACTAGAACACAATTGAGTGTCAGAAAAACACAAACTCAACGTGCTTTCCCTTATTCTCTCACTCAACAGGACAACAATCAACACAGAAGACTTCTGTGACCAAATGAGTGGGGGTTTTTCCCCACCCACCAAGCAGCGATCGCTTCTGCAGCAGATGCCGGCGGGTTTTCTTCCATTCCATTTTTGCCCTTTTCCCCTTGGGGTTGTTTTAGGTTCGCCCGGTTTTTGGTTTCGTTCCCCAAACTTCCCCCGTCCCGTCCCCCTTCAGACACCAGTCGCCAGTCTAGGCCTCCAGACTAACTGGCTTCAAGTTGGGGTTCCCATGATCCCCTCTTTGGGTTCAATTAATTTGCTAGAGTGGCTCATAGAACTCAGGGAAATGCTTCCATAAACCCAGCAAGTCCTGTCCAGATTCTTCTTGGCCTGTCTGTGCAGCATCCTCCAGGGTGTTGGGTGGGACCCTCTCTGCGATGAGGGTTTTATGACCCACAATCCGATTAGAGTCCTGCCTTGAACAGATGAAAGCCGGGCAGGAGAAGGTCGGATTCTGTTTCCTGAGGCCTGCTTCTGAGGCCTAAAGTGCCCCAACAGTATATCAAAAGCCTGTAACAAGGGCTGTAGGAGCTATGAGCCAGGAACCATGGACGAAAACCAATATACATCTGTGTCATAATATCATAACGATTCAGCCAAGTTCTTTGCCACTTTATAACTAGGATCACCTTTCCTCCAGTTTCCGATAACATTTTCCTCATTTCCATCTGAGATCTCTCCAGAATCACCTTTAATATTAATATTTCTACCAACATTAGGTTCACGATGATATATGTATTCTCTAAGGTGGGTCGTATTGATAGATCTCTACAACTCTCCTCTTCTTCCTGAGCCCTTGCTAGAATCACCGGTAACACCCACATTTCTACCAAAAGACCCTTCAAGGTGTTGGGGCTCAGAAACCTGTATCCCCAAAATATGGCATGTTGACATGCTGAAGAAGCCTCAAGTTCTCTCTGACCTCCTCCCACCCATTACTGTGAAAGAGAACTGTTTACAAATTAATCTCTATTCCTGGCCCATTCATTCTCCCTAGTAATCCTTTAATACCCCTCAACAGAATCCCTCTTCTTCCCCCCCCCATAACCTGCTTTGCCAGGATGGTCTATAAGCTTCTGAACCCCTTAGAGGGTGGGCAATGACTCTGTGATTCTCCCCAGGTATAGATGGTAAATAAATGCGTATGCCTTTTCTCCAATTAATCTGCCTTTTGTGACCTGATTTTTCAGCAAACCTGCAGAGTGTGAAGGAGCTGTCTCCCTTAGCTCTCCTATAAAAGCAATCTAGACTTTTTCTAGTGTGCACCTCAAATCTCATCCAGCCTCTACTCGTTACCCAGTTCCAAACTCACATCTACATTTTTAGGTATCTGTTACAGTAGTACCCCACTTTTCAGTACCAAAATCTGTACTGGTCTGCTAAGCTGCCGTAACAAAATACCACAGATTGAGGGGCTTATCAACAGAAATTTACTTTCTCACAGTTCTGGAGGCTGAAATTCCAAGATCAATGTGCCATCAGGCTTGGCTTCTGGTGAAGCCTGTCTTCGTGGCTTGTAGAAAGCCACCTTTTCACTGTGTCCTCACGTGGCCTCTCCTCTCCACATGGAGGGGGAGAGAGAAAGAGAGAGCGTGAGCGCTCGCAAGTGCATGCACTCTGGTGTCACTTGCTCTTCTTATAAAGACACCTGTCCTGTCAGAGTAGGGCCCCACACTTAATGCCCTCCTTACAGGCTCCATCTCCAGACACAGTCATCCTGGGGGTTAGGGTTCCGACATATGGGGAGGGTGGAAATCTAGTCTATAGTAGGGGCTGTAGCCCTAGAGCCACCAGACTAAAATTCTAGTCCCAATTTTCTTTCCAGCCAGCTCTGTGACCTTGGGCAAGTGACTTCCCCTTTCTGGGCCTGAGTTTCTGATGAATGAATGATCTGGGAATGGGAATGGCTTCTCTCAATCCGTGTCACCCAGGAGCTGCGGGGAGCTGTTGAGATGATAGCAGTGAAAGAGCTGTGCCAAGTGAGCCGTGCCGAAGCGCCACACCTAACTCACTCTGTGGACAGATCTCCTTGCAAAAGACATACCAACTCCATGCTTGAAATTCACTTCCATTTGCTGGCACTT